GGGAAATGTGGCTAAGCAACAAAGGAAAGCTCAAGATGAGACTGCCTTAGCTGTTTGGCAAAAATTAAGAAGTAAGCAAGGTGCTGAAGAAATGAGGCATATCCCCGTTAACTGTGAAATAAAAGCAATTTGTTAAAAATATGAAATCAACTACTCTGTGGACAGAGACATAAGACTCCAGGATAACACTGAGCACTTGCCACTCCACAGATCAGACAATTTGCAATCATTACATCATCAAAAATTAAAACTTTTTTCCTGTCATATTTAAAATTTCTTTTTTTTTTTTCTTTTTTTTTTTTTAGTTGGAATATGTCATAATGAAGCCTCTCAAAGGGCCAAGAGCAGAGCAGGTCAAACCAGGTTGTATTCCTTCAGGTTGAGCTGTAGGATGGTGTCCTTGACAGCTGCAAAGACGAAACGGATGTTTTCTGTGTCTGTGGCACATGTGAAGTGAGAATAGATGATTTTATCGCTGTCTGGATTTAAATCCACAAACATCTTGAGAATGAACTCACGGGCTGCCTGTGCATCCCTCTGTGGGCCTGCAGCAAAGAAATCAGTTAATGGATTTATGCCAAGAGCATCCCCCAGTTTGATCCATCAGAATAATTGCTAGAACACTTTTTTCTTACAGGCTACAGAGCTATAAAGAAGAAATTAAGATCATTTATTGCACACAAGTCTCAGGAGCTGAAGCATCTTACGCTTTTCAGTTATCTAACCAACACTTACAAAAGGCATTTTTCCAAGGCTGAGAGTTTTGACAGACACCAGGGTGGCATTTCAGACCATGCTTTGAAACACAGCAAATCTGTACAACCCTGTACGTGCTGCATTCACTAGGTAACAGTGACAGATGCTGGATGTACACAACACAACACTCTCCTCTGGAGATGGGATGTATATTTATTCCTTGGAAGATGGATCTTAGGCACTGAAGGACACAAGACTGTGTTTTGCAAACAAGGGTAATCTTCAGCCAACACTGCAGCTTGTCCTAACTGGCTGATCAACTCACAGGAGCTAAACACTGGAATTTTTGCCAGTTACTTTGTATTGCAAAATTTCATTTGCAAAATTATTTCATATTGCTGACACCTCCTCAGGAAAAAAAAAAAAGTCCCCTACTGATATTTCTTTCACAGTACTGGTGTTGTCACATTCTCCAGGGCAAGGACCATCTCTTCAGGGGTGGTCTGATGGGCTGCTTCCCGCTCACAAGCCGGGCAGCATCCCTGGAGGAGCTACAGCAAATACTTACATGAGGAAACAGAAAGTGTGTGACACTTCCTGATGTTGCAATCTTGTCTACAGCTGTTAGGTTATATTACAAGTACACACTATTTGATCAATAAGCTCATCAGCCATTCCCAGCCTGCTGTAAAAATGTGATGTTTTCCACTACGGATAATTTCAGGGTCCTTGTGCTCTCAGACAGCAGGGGGCATGGAACTACAGAAGGGGGAGGACAACTAATAAGGAGCAGTTTCATCAGAGGTTTAAAAGAAGGAAGCTATTTGCAAAATGTCAATTCTTACTTTACCTTGTATTTTTAAAGCACACAATGACAGAGTTAATACATGAGAGCATGGCAAGAAGCGTGTTGCTTGATCTCATTCTCCGCCACTTTTTTTTGCCATTTTCAGCCCTGTACAGATGTGTTACGAGCCAACTTCAAACGCACTCAACTGAAGAGCCTGAAATGCTATTTTGTCTAAGGAATTTTGTTTCAGATCAGAATTTCTCTGTTTCACACAGATATTATTTATTGACAAATGCAGATGGCACAGTAGTAAGAATTTCACGCTACCTGAGATTTTTTTCAGCACCATCATTTGAACAATTTGGGCATTTGACCAGTCAGTTTCTTCGAACAAGGACTCGAGTCACCTCTTGACTAGAGGGTTAAAGTGCCCAGTATACCAGCAAATTCAAATTGTCACATGTTTATGAAACAGGTCACGTGCAAAAACCATCCAGGTAGGAAAGTTAGACTTCCATTATTTAATTCTTTGATGTGCATATGGGGGAGGGGGGGGGTGTCTGCGTGTGCAGTAATTTTTCATCTAGGAGAGGCTCATTATTTGATTATTTACTCATATTCCAGTTATCTACATATATGATTAAGACATTTTTGTGACATTTTCTCATTGTTGTAGGTATTCCTTCTCAAATTAAGATGTTTTCCCCATCTCTAGATCTGATATTTTTTTTAAAAAAACAACAACAACAAAAAAAATCTAATCAAACCACCTCCACCCCTTCTAGATATAGAGTGTTCCTCCTTTAAAACCACTCACCATCAAACTCTGGGAAATAGTCAACAAGGTGGGAATATAAGATCTTGTCTTCCAACAGATCTTTCTTGTTGAGAAAGAGGATAACAGATGAGTTTTGGAACCATGGATAAGTGATAATGGTTCGAAAGAGAGCTTTACTCTCTTCCATCCGGTTCTGAAATAAGAAACAGAAAGCCTGGTTTGCACAAATGAGCATGAAGATGCCTTCCTGCCTCCTGCACAGGTACTCCAGCATCTCAGATACTGTACACAGAACACTTTGGCCCCAGGTAGGTTCTGACATAATCTGCACCGGTGAACAGAAAAGAAATGCAAAACCTGATGGACTAAAGCTTCATTTAATTGGCAACCACTCATATCCAAAGGCTTAAAGTCCTTCATGCTTTGACAGTCACGGGAGAGGACTGGCCACAATACTTTGCGAGCATGTTCTGTGCAGTGGAAAAGGAATAACTGTTGTTACCTAGTGGCATTTTTTTAACCTATTAGCAAGTGCAAAAAATTCAGTATTGCACCTTTTAAGAGACCAGTCGCTATCTAAGAAGACAGGAGTCACAGCACGAAGTAATTCAGTGCAGAAGAGAGGGATGGGTAATCTTTAAGAGCATGCCATCACATTGCACAGCACCTTCCAAGGCACACAGAACTCGGCAATTTCCGAGTATTTCAGTATTACTCGAGAAGTACAGATGATTTGAATGCACTGTGCATTTTCCATTCTCAGGGACATCCTGACCCATTGAAGCTCATGTTCCCTTTGCAACAGGAAGAACTGAAGGCCAAAACCAACAATACTTGCTAATCCGACTTGGCACCAAGCACTTTGGTACCAACCTCTAAGCTAGAAAGACATGCCTCCCTTCCTTCTGCCCTCCTGCAGAGCTCCCGTTCCTTGGCTTACCTCATTATCAGATTCCACCAGAACTTGGTCATATTCACTAAGTGCTACTAAAAACATGATGGAAGTCACATTTTCAAAGCAATGGATCCACTTCCTTCGTTCTGATCTCTGACCTCCAACATCCACCATTCTAAGGAAGAGAAATACATACAGAATCACAGAAGCAGTTGCAGTTCTCTCTCTGAAGGACCAGCACACAATGAGAATGAACACAGTTCTTTACCATTCAGATATAATAATACGTGCTTGCTAACAAAACCAGCAAGTTTACAAAATACCCTGTTCCAGAAATATATCAAACTGAAGAAATGGCCACAGGCAAATTCAAATCCCAAATATCAGCATGACCATTTTTAGTTGCATTCTGCTCTGGTTTGCTAAGTAGCAGTTCTGAGTCCAAAAAGACAAATCCTTCAGAACTCTGCTCTGTCAAATGAGCATACTATTTTTATTTTTTATTAATGCATCTACTTGCCTCAAAACTTTTCTTGCACAGAGAGCTTTCTATAGTCACTAAACTTTTCTTGGAATGTGCTGTTTAACAGTTACACACTTCAGCTCCTCAGCTTTAAATCCCACTCGTACAGTAGGCTCAAATTATTTTGTCACTCACCCAAAGTGCAATACACCCAGCCCACCTTCGCTAAAATCCTACACCTACTGCATAGGGTCAGTAAACCAGGACAGGGAGGGTAACCTTCTGTATACTGCAACTGAATGGCTTAAGAGAGAGGATGCAGGCTTCTTTACTCCCCTCTTATAATGTCAGCACTGCGGCAGAGAAGGGCAGGGAGCATGTAAGTACCAGAGAGCTGGGGAGAAAATGGCTTTGTGATAGACAGGCATGTCATTGTGCCCTTTATGCCATTGCTGGCTCAAGCCTCCTACCATCTATCGCTGCAGCAGCACAGACAGTAAGTTTTGGTGTCATCCTGAGAGCACCAGGTAGGCACAGAAAACCATCTCTGAAGGCAGATAGTAAGTACCACATACAGGGAAGTGTTTCTGCACAAGAAGTGGTCTCTTTGAGCAAGAAATAAATGGTCAAAGTTGCTTGAGCTCAGCATTCCCAAAGGGAAATACATTTCAAGTCAAGCACTGCCCAGAGCAAACTTTCCTCTACTCCTCTTGGTGGCTTAAGCGACAAACAGTTTGCTCAGCTGCCTCACAAGGCACCACTTCAGCCTCAGATGCCAGTCATGCTTCAGCTTGAAGTCTCCCATTAATCAGAATAAAATGTTAAACCATCCACATTACAGGAGCACCTGTCAGCAGGTATTTCCAAATACCACAGCACATACATCCACTCAAGCCTCTCAACTAAGCACCTGCACACTCTAAACCAATCCAGAACCCATCCTTCCTGAAAGCATTATCACTCCTCTCTCAGTTCAGCTGTAACATGAATACACTTTCAGTACCTGAAGATAATATTCTCTAGGTCAAAGGGGTACTCTATGATACCGGTTGTAGGAACTCTAACCCGTAGCACATCTTGCTGAGTTGGTAGATATCCTGGGGTAGCGATACGATCCACGTCGCTAAGATAGCTACAGGAAGCACAATGGAAAAATAAAACACAAAACAAAACAACTACCTTAGGTTGCAGCACATAAGTACACAGATTTAAACACTGTTACATTTAGTCATTCCCTAGCATAACATGAAAATCAGAAGTCACCTGAACCATTTAAGAAGTGATGTGGAAAAATAACAGAGTATATCTTTTGGGGAACAGGAATTGACCAGCCATCTCCTTTGGAGGATAGACACATTAAGGACAACTTTACCATCTTTGTATTGGAGTGTGGAAGTGCCCTGGTTCAGGACAGGAAGACAATCTTTACTACAGAGAAATTAAGTACAGTGGGTGAGTATGTTTCAGAATCAAGTTTCATCTGAAGTTTTCTGTTTACAAACAAAGCTATGTCACCAGACTCAGAGTTTGGTAATAATAAATCCGTTAAGTTACACACCCATATACATCTGCAGGCCAAAAGCCAAACCTGAAGAGAAAGAGCAACACTTCTCTGGCCTAAAAGTCAAGACCAATATAGAAGACATGAAGTAGAGATTCTAGCCTCAGGGATGTGATGTGCAGATGTGTGAACAACTGTTTTTATCACCCACCAGAACACCTCATACCCTCATGAAAAGTAGCAAATGGTAAGGAATTTCCAGATCTAAATCTATCCCCAAATAAACAAAACTTCCCCCATCTCCAGCAAAGCTCTTTGCCTTTCTGGAGCCAGATTCAAACAAGTTACCAGTTACCTGCTCCCACTGCTATTTCATCTTAACTCATCCTAAGGATACTTCTGGCTGATAGAGACAAAGTGCCTCTCTCCTATGCCTGTAGTTTTTCTCCCAACACACACAGTCAGCAGAGACCACACAGCTTGTCTAAAACACTAGCAAGACTCCCCTGTCTCAATGAAAAACATAAAAGGTATTTAAAAACAAACTATGTAGTGAAATCTACAGCGGTGTTCCTGCCCTTTGAAACAAACTCTAGACATCAATAAAAAAAATTGGACAGGTATTATTTGCTAGAACATCCCTACCACCTATCAGTGCATGCCAGTGATTATATACTTACTATTTAGCTGAGTCGGAAAGCTGATATTCTCTTCTCCTGTCATAACACTCTTGTATTCCAGGGTCGTTCCACAATGTTTTAATTGCACTTACATATGGCTGTTCAAATGTCATGACCTTTTCTACATCCACTTCCCGGATCAACACTGCATTGGCCTGGAGATTGGGAAAATAAATAAATCAATAAATCAATAAATCAATAAATCCAATCTAATTTCCTGGCACACACTCACCCTCCCTGCCCTCCCCAAAAAAAGCTAAAATAATTTAGATCTTGGCTGAAAAAATTTATTCCTGGACCCAGAATCAGTAAGCCAGACTTCAGCTCAAATCACGTTTCTGTGGTTGAAACCAAAACCCTTCAAGAAAGGTTTGTAGCTTTGGTCAGCACCTATCAGAAAAACAGAGAGATTCCAGTAACAGGGATCACTCCCAGCAGAGGTGTCTGTTGGGTCCAGCAGGTATTTTTTTTAGCTTCAAGTTCTGATGTGAATAGTAACTCATGCAAAGAAAAGCCCAACACATTTAATACTGAACCCTTGAAACGAGTAAAAGGAACACTCTGCTATAACCCACATCACACCCAGCCCCTCGCTCCCACCACTCACTATGCAGACCAGGGTACAAACTGTCCTGAGAAAGTTGCTCTGTCCCTTAACACGGCCAAGTAAATGGAGTTAGGGATCAGCAAAATGTCATAAAAAGCAGTCCTTCAGCACAAAACATTTATGGAAAAGAGTTCAGGAGGTTGAGATTGCAATGCAGAATGACACAAACAAACAGGTACTTAAGAGGCAAACCCTAGAAACCCCATTGCCTAAAGATACATGAAAAATCATGAGAAACTTACCTTATTCTGTTCATATTTGTACAGAATCTTCAGGGTTTCCATGGCCCTGATCATAGACTGCATGGCAGTGAAGATGTTTTGGTACACCAGCTTGGTGAAGCCTTTTTTGTCCTCTTCAGAGTAGCCTGAGCCATGAATTATACGCATCTGCTTAATGAACGTGCTTTTTCCACTCTCCCCAGTGCCTACAGAATGCAAGGGAGAGAGTTAGGAGCCATCACAAGTAAGGCCTGTTACCAGAGAAAGCAATCAAACATCAATCACACCACAGCCCCAGGTTCCTGTTACCATACCCAAGTACATGCCACCTCCAACCACGTTTTTAGACAGTTTCCAGAATGTTAAAAGACAGCCTGGACCATCCTGCTCGTCCCCACTGAGAACCCAACAGCACAGAAGGAAGACATCTTGTCCTTAACAGCAGCCTTCAAAAGCAGCTCTGGTCCTCAGTCCCAATCTCACGTTACAGACACTCCCACACGTTCTGCGTCAAAAGGCCCTTGTCGGTCACACCTGACCTGTTCCCAGATACTCCAGCGAGATGCTACAACCTCAACACCCGCCAGAGAGGGCCCAGATGTGCTCCCAGGCTGGTAACTACTGTGATGACAGCGAGCAGGCCAGGAGAAGCCTATTTGTACAGTAAAGAGTAAATTTTCTTTCGCTGTGATTTGGTAGAAAATGCTCTTTACCTTGCAGACGATCTGTCTTTTCATAGACAGGAACTGAACACAACAGAAAAAATCAACTCTAAAGGAGAATGGAGCTCGAGAAACTACTTGCTTACTCATCTGACAGGATCAATCCAGTCAGCGCATCTGCCTGGTGTCCCAAACCACTACACAGACACGGTGTTTGCTCTTAAGGACTGAAATGATAATCAGCACTGTGGCAGGACACTGCTACTACTGCTGGCAGCCTCTGGATATTATAGAGTTAAAAATAGCGACTGACAGGGAGAGCGGAGTAAGAGGTTGCTCTACACTCTGGCTTAACCCCTGACAGACAGCAGGCTGCTCAGAAAGGCTCCGGGTTCCTTGTGACACAGGTTTACTGCCCTGGAGAAGCTGGGTCTTAGGGCAAGAGAACAGTGGCAGCAACGCCAGCGCGTGGAACGGTCCAGCCCTTGCGACGCTTCCTGCGCGGTGGGTTGGGCAGGTCCTCCCACTCCTGCATTTACAGCCCCAGAAAAGTGTCATTTAAACATGTGAAGGCCAACAGAAGATATAAAAAAAGATAGTGGGAACTTTCTAACACACTAAGTTAGAGAGAAAAAACATCATCAGATAAAGCATCCATGCCATTACACAGCTTTAAGTTCGTTATTGAACTGGGATTATGGACAGTGCCCAGCGACTCCCGCTCTCTGTACACACGGGTCAAGTCTCCCGTGTGATTCACACACCTCCACGCTCCATCCCACAAGCAGCAGCCAGAGCACACACCACTGACACTGCCATTAAGAACTTTTGTTCAATCTTCTAAAATTTACTATCGATATGAAGAATATCTATTAAAAAAAAAAACAAACCCCAAAACTCTCTGCGATACAGCGGCCCAGCTCACCTAAACAAAACATACCTAAAACATGACCAGGTAAGTGACAAACCTGTTTGCTCTGCAGTTACAAACACACAGGCTGGCAGAGCCCCGGCATTCCCCACAGGAACCACCAGGTAGTCCCTCACAGTAGGGGACAGATATATTAAGACAGGATCTCATTCATCACAATACACAATCACTACTCACATGTAGATTCTCAATTACTCATGTTTATAGTGCCGGGCTAAAAGGCAAACAAATAAATATGCTCAAATGAAAGCAGCAAGCACATAACTAGAAGCGGCATGTTTAAAATAAACAAACCCTCCCCATCTCCAAAAACTGACAGAAATTATGTCAGTGTAGTTAGGAATTAACATTATAAACACCATTAACACGCAGCAAACGATCTCCATGTCAAGCAGAAAGCTGTACCATAAATGGATGGGGAGGTGGAACTGGAAACGAAAATCTTCTGTGGTTCCTCTCACTGTGGTGAGAAATACTTCCTTGTCTCTTACCACAGTGACCAAAACTGGGGGGGGGAAGTGGTGCTTCAAAGCATTCCAATAATGAAAACACAAGAGAAACCTCAGCACCAGCCATTCACTGACTTCAGAATTTAAGAGTTCAGACACAGATTCTGCCTGTCACTCTGTCATCAGTCGTTTTTGGTGGGTTTTTTGTGGTTGGTTTTTGTTTGTTTGGGTTTTGTTTTTTTTTAAAAATTTTATTTTTTTTAGTTTTTTTTTAAAGGTGTCTCTTGCTTTTACTCATGCCATCAACAATACGGAACAGCACTACAGCAGAACGTTGTAAGTTCTGGTGGGTACAGTCCCCAACATTTATAAGAGCATAATAACCTTTTCCAATATGACAATGTTGAGACAAGGAGATAATCTGAATTCACCATTTCTTCTGTCAACACGTGAAAGCAGCAGAGTTTACAATAATTTACTAATGACCCTGAAGTACCTGACAGGCACTTGTAAGTTCATTACTCAGTCAACACTATCTCGTGCTTACTCACAAGTAATTTTTGTATAAAATACTCTCCCTCCTCCCCATGTAGTAAGAAGACAAAAGACTCTCTTATAACCAGAGGGCAACGTCCAACACCTTGAAATAAAATTTCTTATTAACAGGTTCATCGTTGATCAGCACTATTATTCTTCACCCCAAATTTTCTGGTTTAGGCTTCAAAAAAAACTGTCACTAGACGTAGCGACAAGAAAAATTACCAGAGCTTCTACATGGCAGAAACTCCCTCCACACACGCGCTCTTGTCAAAATGTTGAAGATTTGGGAAATCCCTCTCACTAATATGATTCCCTAATATTTGTGAATGTGGGAACTGCACATAACAGGAGGGAGACAGAAGAAATCCCTGCAAGCAGCAATTACGTCAGGGAGAGAGAACACACGTTACCCACCACAACTCAGGGCAACGTGCAATGCTGCATCCAGCAAGCACATCCTAGAACTGGGAGTGCTGCTTTTCCAATATTAACCGTAAAGATTATTAATTTTTTTAAAATCTGATGCTGACTCTTACTTAACTGTATCTTTTAGAAAAGCAGAAAGGATTCTTGAGCAATTTGAATTCTTTCTAAAGTGAAATCATTAGATCCAGTGGGATCTTCTTAATGCAGATCTGTCCCTATAGTCCCAATCTATTTTGAAACAGATGCTTCTGTGGGACTGCTTTAGGGAAGCCTGAGAGTGAGAGACACATTCCCTGGTCTACAAGAAGCCTCACAGAAACCGACACAGCACCTTCAAAGTGCTCAATTTTACCTTCCAACTGAAGAACAGCAACACATTAACCCCTGAGGATTCGTGGTGAGAAGGCAAGCCCTGGCCTTCACTTTACAATTACCACCGTGCAACAACAAGTCAGTGTTGGAGATGTCCAGAGGTCGGGGCAGGCACAGCCCCACTTCACTTGTGTGAAGTTTTACGTTTGTTTTCACAACATTCATCCTAATTCTTCACCTGTGCGTTAACGGCTTGCCAGCTCACAACAGACTCCAAGTGAATAAGCTCAATCCATCAGATCTGCCTCACATCTCAGCCCAAGACGATGCAGTATTAGACACAAAGCAGGACACATACACAGCAAGCAATGATAAATCACAGTACCCATGAAAACTGTAACTTAAGTTCAACTTGGGGGCTACCTGGAGAAGGATGTGAATGCTTGAAACCTCAGCTGGCTGCTCTTGTAACTGATTACCCATCCCTATAAACCTTATCTAAACACGGAATAGTTATCCACCCGCACAACCCCAGAACACTGCTACGTTTCCATCTGAACACCGACATCCTTATCGCTGCAGCAGTGATCTCTGCCTCCGAAGGGAACGCTGAACAACTAACCAGAGCCATTTCCTCCTCAGACACACGACTTGCACATTCTTTACTGCTTCGTCTCCCTTCACATTGGCTCTACCAAGCTCCCAACGCGAGGCCCTCCCCGGGCTGCGCCAGGGGAACTCTGTGCTTTAGGAGCTGGCGGCCAATTTTTCATTTCCACAGATGTTCACCCCAGGCCCAGAAGTTCAATGACAATTCCGAAACGCATCAAGTCCAGCAGTGGATTTTCCAACGCCAGTGAAGGCCGGCACGCTCCGGGCAGCGTTTCCGCGAGGCAATCCTCAGGCGTGCTCGTGCCTGCGTTTGGAACCAGTAATTCAGCCCGGCAGTTC